TTTGGATCTTTCTGAATCGGTGCAATTTCTTTTGCAATTCGCGTTATGAAGACTTTTTGTCTCCGGTTAGCCTCATAAATGAATTCTCATTTAAATCCGTTTAGAGTTTAATTAAAAATACACGGACAAGTCTTGTTTTGTGGGTCTGACTGAAGCGTTGAACTCATTTGGAGCAAGTCTTGTTGTGATGCCGTTTGTTCCATTATTGCCCCCTATGTTGTGTGGAGTGACAAGACATTCATTTTATTTTTGTAAATTATATATTTATAAATCAAAATAGTATAATAAATAGTTTAGCTGGTTTTAATAAAATTTCTTTAAATAGATGAATATGAAACAATGTAAAATAAATATACAATTAGGACTCATGAAGTGAAGGCGCATTCGAACGTTCAAATCGCTCAAACGAGAATTCTTCGTGAATTAATTTCGAGCGAACTTCTACAGACCCGAGCGAAATAAAGTTAAACGGTTCACCTCCAATTTCAGAAAATATAGAAGCGATCTCTTCTTCAACTCCGTACATGCGAAGTTTGGGGATTATCTGCAACTGTGTTGTTTCCTCTACAACTTCCATTGAAATTTTTAAAAGTGACTTCTTCGGTTGGGTTTGAATCTTCTTAGTACGACTTTTCAGGCATCGGCTTTTGAATTCGGCTTGGTAACTTGTTTCCAATTTGAGCTTATTAAATCTTGTAGCGTTCATGTTGTATAATGATCAGATCAATCCATTAAATAGTAGTGGTTAAATGAAAGGGGGTATTTAAACAGTTTTTTCTTTTTTTTAACAATTCAAACAGTCTTCACATAACCTTGTCGAGTTACTGAGTTGTTTTTAATTATTCAAATACCAAACCATTTTTAGTAAGACTGAAAAAGCAAATGATCGTTGTGGGCTTATCATAAAATGGCTTGTTTCGAAAAAAACGGTCTTATTTTTTTGTAATAAAACGACAAAAAAATTTAAATACCTTGGTGTAAACGACCCAACATGGGTGTAAACTATCATATTTTACAAAAAAGCTATTTAAATTAACTTAAAAATATACATTTACTATAAATTATTACAATTATGAAAGAAAATTATTTCGATTGCATTATTTTTGTTTTATCTAGTCATTAAAAACTAATAAAAATATATAAAATTTTTGTTTTTTTGATAATTGAAAGTTGACAAAAGAAAGTCATGTGAGTGAAAGTTAATTTAGCTTTTTTCTTATAAAATTATTTAATAATTAAAAACACAAAAGAAATAATTTGCCACTTTTTGAAAAAAATAAAGTCTGAGTGAATTTTTTTCATTTTGCTGTTTTTTTCGTAGAAAATAACAGACTTTTTTACTTAGATAAGCAAACGTTTAAAATTGGTAAACACCTGTAATGTTTTTTTTAAATAAAACTTAAAGTATATATTTTAAAGTTGTTTTTTTATGTTCGGGTTTTGTTATCAAGTTAAATACTGAGTTGGTCTAAATATTCTTTTTTTATATTGCAAATATCTTCATAGGTAATCCAAAATGTGGCAAACCGTTTTAAAACGTTTACTATTTCAATTTGAAATATGATATTATTAGTTGTTTGTTTAAATGTCTTGGAATATATAAATTGAAAACGGCAATATGTACAATTTGTTACCAACAAAAAAATTAATTAAAAATATAATAAACATTTAAATAAATAATAATATATTTAATATAAAATAACGCCATTTTACAAAAATATGAAAAATGGTATTTTTAGTTATATTATTCAAATAATATAATAATAAATTATATAATCAAAGCTATAACACAAAATATTTTTTCTTGTAGTTTATTATTTCAATTTATATTATTATTTTATTATTACAATCTAGAAATAAAGTTTTGTAAAGGGCATACTACTGGATGCACGTTTATCCATGATTGGTGTCCATCCAGTGAAAACTCCCTTTTTAGCTGGATACAAATATTTATTTGTAAAATAAAGTCAATTTTGTCATAAAAACGAAAGCATTTATTTTCAAATAATAAAAAATCTACAATAAGAAAATAAATAACAGCCACTCAAGATTATTTTAGACGAAATACAATGGACAATTGATAAGCTTTTTAATATTTAATCAGATAAATAAATAATTTGTTTATTATGAAAATATTGTTATATTAAACAAAAAAGGGCACTTGGTAGTTATTCAATAAAAATACTTACACATAACAGTAGATAATACACTTCTAATATTAGAACTTCGAACATTTTTTTTACTTACAATTCGTATCTTTATGAAACAAAATCATTTATTTTATTAATAATATAATAATAAATGAATATAGATTATTACTAAAATATATCAAAAGTCTGAATCCAAATAATGAAAAATAAAAATTATCTCCTGTATATTTTATATATTGATTAAATGTATTTACATATTACAATTAAAAGTGTATAAACAATTTTAGTGATTCAAAATAGTGATTAATAATACAAAACAAAAAAAACCAAAAAATCTTTAAAATAAAAGTGATATAAATTGTTGGAAAGTAAATTATATAATAAAAAACTATTAATGAGTCAGTCTTTTAATGTTATCTGGTTCTTAATATTTATCTGGTGGACATAAAATAGTATTAATTTTGTCTAAACATCGAGCATTCGGTAAAAAAAATGAAAAAACAAGAAACAATTTAAATGGATTTTTGTGAAGGCTTCCCAAAATATTTCAATCTTTATGGTCCAAAAAGTATCAAATAACGTTGAAAGATAGAATATATAATGTTTATTATAATATTTCTTAAACGTGATTTTATCAAATATATTGACATTAAAATAATTGAAAAAGGTATATTTGTTACTTTTTGAAGTGAAGCATAATTTTTTAAAAAAATTTGTTGAATATTTTATGAATATATTTAAACAAACTAATTGTCTTCTTTTTCAATGGGAAGACACACTGGAGCTCAATCACAAGCCGCTTCACACACCGCTGCAGTTGAAAGACATGCAGACAATGTGAGAGCACAAGCACAAGCACATTATGATGCAGAATCAAGACATGCAGCTAACAGAGAAGCTCAAGCTTATGCTCACCAGGCTGCTGTTGACAGACATGCTGAGAATTATGCAAAATACAATTAATTTTATTTAATTGATTTTTCTAATTTAATTGTTTTTAATAAATTGAAGTACATTTTTCTTTGAAATAAAGCTTAATATTTGTTTTATTTTATTTTTTTAACACTTAAATAACAATTAAGTTTTTTAATTGTACTTACTTGGGTGATATATTATTTTTTTCTTTGATAGCAACGTGTCGTTATACACATAATACACTTTTAAAAACGAATAAATTAATATTTAAACTTAATATCATTTAATTATATGACATAAAAATTTTGTATAATGTATTTTAAATGTCAAGGTTATTATTTAACTGTCACAATTTACAAATAATGTTTTTTAGTATTAAAAATTAGTTATTTTTTGAATTTTAATTATTCAAACACTGTTAAACAATCAAATAATTGTTGTTTTATCGCAAATAATTTATTAATTTATTAGTGATAAATTTTAATTTAAATATCTTAATAATTATCGTTTTTACAATGTAATGTTAAAAAATAATCTAAATTTCACATTCATGTTCAAAATAAACAATGAATGCCTTTTTCTTTTAACTTTGTGTTTTTCTTGTCGTTATTATATGAACATGTTAAAAACATAATATAATTTAACTAAAAAATTCTTTACCCATTTCTTAACTTTTTTATACTAATATTTTTGAATATATTTTTCAGGTGCAAAACCTAGTAAATAATAACTTGCTGTTTATCTATGATATTAAAACACAATTCAAATTATAATGAATAATGGTATTTTGTTATTCCAATGTATTTAAAATCAAGTTATAAGATAATCGATAATATTTTTTTTATCAAATTTCATTACACTTTGATTATTTAATACAATAATAAATTATGTAAATAATATTATATTATAACATAAATTAACAATTTATATTATTTATTGTTGCCATTAAAAAAAATATTTTTAAAACATTTACAGACCACAAAACACATAATTATAACAATATATAACTTGCATAATATAAAATTTATTAATTATAATGTTGAAATGTGTTGACTAAAGATGGTCTTTAAGTTTTTTAATTAATTTTTAGTGTTCGATTGACATAATACTTTTTATAAATGAGAAAACACATATAAATATAACAACCAATTAACTTCAATATATCGATGGCGCAGCTTTTCTATCACACACAAAAGTAATAAAACTTAGAGCTGTTTTAGCCTCAATTAAAAATGTCAAATCGTCGTATTTTGATTCTTTTCCTCTTGCAGTAATAGTGTATTCCACTCCGCCATCCTTCTTCCCTTTTGTATAAATTCTTGTATGTGTAGTTCTTCCTTCACTTCTTTTTGATATAGTAATTGGTGCATTAACAACGTTATAACTCTCCCTCACAAGAAACGTTCCATCAACGTGTCCTTCCAGTGTAGCAACAGCGTCGTCCTTTGTAATGCCTCCAAACCACCATTCGGCCTTAAATACATCAACCATCTTCCTCAAACAATTTTTGTCGTTGTAAAACTTCCCAAACAGCCGGATGAGGTATTTAAACCTCATTATATCGATTTCATTAGCTACTCCAATGTTCCTCTTCAAGACTTTCTCGTCGTCTTCTTTCAATCTAAAAGTCTTCACAATTGGTTTAATGAACTCGTCGACCAACACAAAATTTGTTCTGCATATCTCACCTTCGAAATTTTTCTGCCACCAACTTGTAGCATTTGAGTCGCCAAGTGACACACCCAGTCTTAGAGTGTTCACTAACTCGACTAACTTGTCGATGCCAACACGCTTCTTTGCATCAAACTCCCAACACCTTTTCATAATCAGTTCAGCATCTTTGGGAGTCTTCTCTATTAACTCTTTAAAAGTCTTTCTGACTCTGTGGACCTCATTTTCTTTGTCTTTTTTGTGTTCATTTTCTTCAATGAAAGTCACTGGCAAAATTGGGCGCCCGCCACTCTTTAATAATTCAATCATTTTTGCTGTTGTTTTGATCTCTTGATACTCAAAAAAGGGCGCACTCTCATAGAACACCTCCCACATTGTTATTCCAAGCGAGTAGACGTCGATCTCCTTTCCAATCGACTTTGCCATCAGTAACACTTCTGGCGCACAGTACTTTGAGAAGTCCCTGAACGTTCGACTTTTTGATTGTAAAGTGTCTGCAAAGCCAAAATCGCCGACTTTGATGTGGAAGTTCTCATCTAAAAGGAAATTAGCTGGTTTGACGTCTCTGTGAATGATGTTGACGACATTGTGAAGCCACTGAATCCGTTCACAACACTGAAGAAACAAATCAATTTTCAAAGGAACATCAAGAGGACGGCGGAGATACTCAGACGTGATGTTGTCACAGTGAATGTACTTCGATAAGTCAGTCTTTATAAACTCGTGGACAAACATGGGGGTGGTGGTTGGAGTTACTACGCCTATAAATAGAACAACATTTGAACTGTGGAAATTGTTCATCAATTCCATTTCATGAAGGTATGTCTTAAGTTCGGTGGGAGTTAACTCGTCTATGGGTATCTTAACGGCTACAGAAACACCACTTAGTGCTCCTTTGTATACACTCCCAAAACACCCCTTTCCGATAAAACCTGTTTCTTTGTCTATAAAAAGGTCTTCTTTTTTTATTGTTAAAGATGAGAGAGACATTGGAATTATTAATTTATGAGACTGTTTTTAGTCGTTTATATTTGTTCATTAAAATATTAATTTACACTATTTATAGTGTTTTTAAAAAGTTAAACATTTTTTCTTATAAAATCTTTAATTTTTCGATACGATAGTTGAAATTATAGTTTGTTCCGTACTCTCTGATATTATTATATAACTTCGAAGGTATATATTTATTGTCTGTCAGTGTAGTTTTTATTACACAACTTTTTAAATTAAGACGTTTTTAAATTAATCAACGTGCATTTATCAAAGTTCAAAAAACTATTGTACCAAACTATGATATATAATAAAAACAACTATTAAATATAATTATAAATAATATCTTATTTGACTACATGCCACTTTAATGGAATTAACAATGAGAGTTGAGAATCCAAGAAAACTACAAATAATTTTTTTGGAGTTAAAAAACATGTGTAGTTTATATCAGAAACAAAATACAATTTTTACTCTGAAATGAATAACAAAACCAATAACAAAAAACATCCATAATTATTCCCGTCACTAATTGACGGGTAAACTCAAGAAAAAGATAAAAAATGATTCTTTATCAGGGTTTATCAAAATGTATCTTGAAACTATATTCAATTAATAAATTTATTATAAATAATGGTTAATTATTTGAATTTCAACAATGATTATTATAAATATATAATAATAAATATATAATAAATATATAATAAATATGGTCTTATTTAGAATAATTGATATAAATAGACCAATAACTCACTTATATTACCAAAAAATGACTTCTCTTGATTCATTTAATATAGTTGTTGTCTCGAAGTATTTTACTTCCATTCAAGACTTCATTCACTTGGTCTTAGTGTGCAAGAAATTCAGAAGCACTTTCGACCAATTCCACGCAAATCCCATTCCTTTGACTACTAAGACAATTAAACACTTTCCAAATATAGAAACACTCAATTTATGGAGTAAAGAAGATGAGACTTTTGGCAACGTTATTTCAGAGATACCTTCCAAGCCCTTTTTTGCGGTTATTGTGTGGTACCCCTGTGACTATTCTTACATTAAAACTTACGAGAGCACCAATGTGAAGTTTATGAATATCACATACAACTTAGTTGATTTCAAGAAGTACGGCAGTGACATCCCAAAGTACACCAAGACCCTTGGCAGTTTCTGTTATGCCACCAAACCAATCGCCTCTCTGACATTACCCGACACTCTACAGACCATTATGAATAATTGTTTCAACAGTTGCACTCTTTTAAAGTCGATTCGCCTTTCCCCCTTCACCACTTCAATTCAGTCCCAGTGTTTTATTGAATGCGTGTCTTTACAATCAATTCTAATTCCCTCGGGCGTCGACCAAATCGGGTCGTCACTT